TAATGATGATGTGGATAAGGATGTGGATAAGGATGACGATAAGGATGAGGATAAGGATGTGGATAAGGATGAGGATAAGGATGTGGATAAGGATGAGGATAAGGACGGTGAAGCGTCTTGGGTGGCGATGTCACACATGGAGTGGAAGAGTGTGAGCGCCTGTGCGGCTGTTGCTGGAAACTTGCTGAGTTGATGGACAACTGCACTCCAGACGGCTACACGTGGACGGCAGCCATCGCGTGTCATGGTGTGAAGGAGGTCGACTGCCTGTTTGACTTTGCGACTGCGAAGGCAGGCCATGACGAGCAGTCCCTGAGCATCCTCATCCAGCGCAGCAGCGTCTGCTATTTCCGAAACAATTTCAATGGCAAACGAGTCCCTCCGCCTGTGCACGAGCTTGGCCACAATCCGACTGTAGTTCCTGGATGTCGGGACCCCACCACTTGCACGGATCTCTCTCAACAACTTCACACCATCCTCAAGTTGGTCGTCTGCCAGCAAGGCTTCTAATTGACGGTTCAACACATCGAACCTGGGAAAGCTATCGGCAGGATATCGATTTCCATCATCAAGCATGTCACGGTTGTCGCCCCCGTCAGACAAACTGTGAAGGTCAAGTCCCGCTGCCACTGTCCTTTTCTGATGCACATCAGCAGCCGGCCTCTGCCATACTGTGGCCGTGGGAGCACTGTCGTCCACTAACGCTGGCAGTGGCGGACAATCTCCTCTGCTAGATGTTTGGTCCGCTTTGCCATTGGAAAGTGGCGCTGGTTGTGATGGCGTAAGGAGCTCCTCCTGAGGGATCGCTGCATCCTGACCATGAGCTCCTGGCATTGCAAAACAACTTCCCATTCCAACCCCTTCACTGCCATTTTCAGACAAAGCTGACAAACTGCTGCCGGAGTTTTGAAAAGGGATGTCCACTGACGCTGGCTGTTTGCTCGATATCATGTTCGATCTTCGCTGAGGACCTTGCAAGCTGAATGTCGCTTTTGGCATCCAATTATTTCGATCAAACGTTTGGTTTTGGTATTCCCTTTGACGAATCGCATCACTGTCATCAGCACTTGCCTCCTCCTCCTCCTCCTCCTCCTCCTCCTGGTCCAGGCCTCGACCATTCTGTTTACATTTGCAATTAACAGTTCCTGCATCATGTGCCCTTACTTGCAGTAGTACAGTTGGTTGCTGTCTGGATGTTTTATGAGGCTGGCCGCTGAGAAGAGGCAAGTCCACCCCACCGAAGGCAGAGATCATCAGCCATCTGCAATGTATCTTCAGTAGTTGCTTGTTGCTCAACAACTGGCATGACGGCAACGAAAGCCTCCAGCATCCCCAGTAGTACGGATACAAGGAATTCCCTCGCCCCAATCTTGCTTGAGTGCTTCTCTTCCATCTCATACGAACTGTTTGACAAGGGGTAAACCCGCCCGAGGCATAGCAGAGGTCTCGACACACGTTCTGTACATGAATTTTTTCACTGCTCATATAAATATTCCGGAGACGACCAATCTCTAGGTGGTGGTGAGCAGCAGACTTTGACATGATGATCTGTGGGGCTGGGAGTCTGCAACGGTCTCTGACACAACCAAGTCAGTCTGCAGAGTGGCGATGACAACAGACAGGGGCGACGTCGTTGCATGCTGCCTGGCAATAATCAAAATACGCATATTGACCTCCGTTTCCTAAACCAGCGTTGTAACCGGAAAGTGGTACCTGCACACAACATATATACATGATTGGATTCCGTTGGCACAAGACAGGGCACTTGGAGCCACCTTTCTCTTCTTTTTTTCTGGGTTTTATTTTTCCAACACGGAAACATGAAAAGGAGCCATATTTCCGATGACTCCAACATAATGTTCACAGACCTACCACCACCATTGTAGTCTCACACCCTTTTGATGACTCCAACATAAATGTTGACTTCAACATGGAAACACAAAAAGGCGGAGATCCTTTTGATGGTTGGAAAGCCGGCGGAGAAGGGATCGTTGCACCTTTGACCAGAAACAGACCCATCAGGAAACATGCCTGCTCCATATGGCTCGTCCGACTGCCATTGGTAAATCTGATCAGCGGCCGTCATTTCGTTTCGGCCTCTGAAAGGTCGGACGCCTACCCGAGGCCCGCTATTTTCCCAAGCGGCAAAGGTACTAGTGGTTTAAGGATTCCCTCCCACCCTCTCCCAGTCTCTATCACAGAAATATGGGCCCACAACGAGGAATTGCCGCCATATCCTTGGAAGGATGGTGCCAACCTTTTCGCTGCATGCGTATTATATGCGTACATAGTACATACATGTGTGTGTATATAAATACATACACGGCACCCCCGGAAGGCACGTAAGGGGCAACATCTTCACGGTCTTTTGACTGCTCACAGATGTGTTACGGAATGCTTGTACAACAGCAGAGCTGAGAAGTCACTTATCTGTGACAAAGAGCACGACGCCGAGTCAATGATAACTAACTTGCTGTGTCATACTGGAACCGCCCAATGCAGAGGACAAAAGTCAGGGGTAAAAGCCGTTTTACACCCGTAAAAGCCAGGGGGTCTCAGAACGGAAGTACCTTCCCACCAAGGGTAAAAGCCAAGGGTAAAAACCAAGTGTTAAACTCAAGGGTAAAATCCAAGGGTTAAACTCAAGGGTTAAACTCAAAGGGTAAACTCAAGGGGTAAACTCAAGGGGTAAACTCAAGGGGTAAACTCAAGGGGTAAACTCAAGGGGTGAATGCCAAGGGTAAAAGCCAAGGGGAAAAGTAAAAGGCAAAAGCCATACTGCAATGGTAGAAGACAAAGGGTAAAGGCCAGGGATAATAGCCAAGGGTAAATGGTAAAAGTCAAGGGTAAATGGTAAAAGTCAAGGGTAAATGCTAAGGGCAAAAGCCGTACTACAATGGCAAGAGCCAAGGTCTTCACGTTCCTGAGGGTTTCAGGCCAGAAGGACTTTCCCAGTAGCAGCAAGCAGAGAAATGCCAAGAAAGTACTCTCACTGAGAAGCCAGACAATGAAATGACTCTTAGCTAACGAATAGCAGGCTGCTGCTTTGCCAGCCAGGCAAGTACTTCACACCGGTGAAATTGCAGTCTGTGCACAATCTCATGCATTAGTAGTTCTGCACGATGGGAGGGAGGGGGGAAGGGAAGGGAGAGAAGGAAAGGGAAGAGGAGGAGGGGAGGGGAGGGAGGAGAAGAGCAGGGAAAAGAGGAACCTCGTTGGTTCGTCAATCGTCACCAGCAGAGCAGACTGCTAGAAACTGGCACAAGAGGCCATCCATGTGTGTGTGTGTGTGAGTGTGAGTGTGTGTGTGTGTGTGTGTGTGTGTGTGTGTGTGTGTGTGTGTGTGTGTGTGTGTGTGTGTGTGTGT